CTGCCATGATGCAAAAACCCAGACTATAATGATGATGAGATCTGCATTCTGTTGTATGTGCCAGACAGTATGAAATTATGTGTACAGGTTTGTCATAGCGTCTGAGATCCATCTTTCAATCATTTAGCGTTTTGGACTGACATTAAATTAGGTGCTTTGAAATAATATTTAATTGGAAAGATTTGTTGGAAAAAGCCTTTCGACTATTAAGATTAGCAGTATCCCCGAACATAGTTAAGAAAGAACGGGCAACTTTTCTGCCTTTTCCTCTGAACCAAAATCTTTTAGACAAGTGAACAGATTTATTCTGCTTTTGGTGAAGCATGTGAAGGAGTTCTCTTCCATGAGCTGGCCAATTACAGAAATTGGACACTTCTCTGTTCTCAAACGAAGCACACCGTCTTTACTTTGATATCTCTTTGAGTTTGAGTTCAAGTGAACTCAAATATTTTCGACAAGTGAATGAATCTATTCTGCTTTTGGGTGAAGTATGTGACACATGCTCTCTTCCATAAGCTGGCCAGTTACAGAAATTGGAGACTTTGCTTCTCCAAATGAAGCACACTGTCTTTAATTTGATACCTTCAAGTTTTTGTTCAAGCACTGGCATTTGCATCTATATCCTGTCATCCAACCCTTCAAGAGTATCTAGTTGTTCTGATGATAGATTGTAAATGTCATATGAGATCTATTACTAGTGCATTCCTTTGCCTGAAACCTTTTAGTGTGACTCATGCCATTGAGAGTCTAGCATATCTCCAATCCTCTTTCCTGCTTTGTACTGCTTGCACCTCCAGATATTATCAATTTCAGTTTTTTTTCCCTGTTCATATTATTGTTATTCTTCTAACCTAATTTGCAGCCTAATTACTACTTATCATGCAGCATGTGCTGGAGCATGGAAAACCACTAGAACGTTCAGCTATCATTAAGAAATTGACTGGGCAGATAGTTCAAATGAGCCAGCAAAAATTTGCCTCCAATGTCGTTGAAAAGTGTTTGACTTTTGGAACTCCTCTGGAACGCCAGACCCTGGTGAATGAAATGCTTGGTTCTACTGATGAAAATGAGCCTCTTCAGGTTTGCAAGTCATCCATGTGTTCCCTACTTCTGAATAAACTGTTTTGTGATATTCATGTTTGTTTCCATGTGATCCTCATTTTGATTTTATTCACTGCATGGTAATGTTTACGTCTTACTACTTGAACTCCTTATTTGAAGTAACCGTTTGTAACATTTCTTTTTTGAGTTAGTTAGCTGAAGGTACTATAATTGGCCTTAAAAATGTTGGATGGAGTAGGTTCTGGTGACAGTCCTTGGTCCTCAAATGGAGTCATGAATCATGAAGTTAAATTGGCATTGTGCACAGTTTAGTAGTAGGATGCAGGACCTAAGTTCTTTACATGTCTTAGCTTATCTCAGAAAGAAAAATTGCAAGAATGGTCCCAACTGTAGTTGCTGGCAGCTCAGTATCTCTCAGTGACAGATTCATCATGTTACAGCAGCGCAAAATATGACTAGAATAAGTATATTAGAAACACTTTCCATTATGTCTCAGGCTTTGTTCTTCTTTCATTAACCTGTCATATAGGCTTCTCTGTCTTAAAAAATCATATAGGTTCTTTTGTATGATGAAAATGGATCAAAGTAAAATTACTAATGGCTTCTGGTATTGGAAACCGATGAAAATGCCCTGCTACCTCCTAGCAAATGTTGCTCAAGGTTAGAAGCTGAGATTCAAATGGTCATTGATCTAAGTATTTGAAACCAAGTTATACAGTGAATTGGTTTCTGTAATCCAACACAATTTTTGTGTTTGATTTGAACTGTTGATTTTATTTAACCTCTTGGTTTCAAGGAATCATTTGCCTGCTCTTTATCTGTGCTCTTGCCTTTTACCTTCAGGTAATGATGAAAGATCAGTTTGCAAACTACGTTGTTCAGAAAGTGCTGGAGACTTGTGATGACCAGCAACTTGAACTAATTCTTAACAGAATAAAGGTTCACTTGAATGCTCTAAAGAAGTATACTTATGGGAAGCACATAATTGCACGTGTAGAGAAACTTGTTGCAGCTGGGGGTATGTT